GTACATTTACTAGTACAAGAATAATATTCCTGTTGTGATGTTCAAAAGAAAATATTTGTATTGTTTCAGTGACATGGTGAGGAAGTAGATATATAAAGGAATTAAAGTAGCTCAATGAAAGCACAGAAAAGTGTAAAAATGTAATTGATTGTGAGTTTCTACTTTAATATTTGCATAGGACCTCGTATAACTGTAGCTCTATGGCATTCAGTTCACTGTAAGCCATATTTTTTTAATAAACCTTTGTAAGCCATATCAAAAAGCAATCCTACTGACAAGAAATGTTGGCTTCTAAACCAACTTAATAGATCTCTCTAATACCAATTTGAAATTGGACTAATTCCATGTATGCTTGAGCTTTTAAACATCTTTTTTGCGCAAAATCTAAACCATTTTTAAACAAAATATGTGCTTAGACACTCCTCAATATCAACAGGAAACTCCATATCTTGGGCGGTGCAACATCAATCTCAACTTTCGCAAACTCCACCTCTGTTTTATTTTGTGTAGCCTTGTCCAGAGCTAATTGGGTACGAATTGCATGAGCAATATAATTGAGCCCTTGAAAAAAGAATAGTTCCATGAATACACCCTAAAGTTTTATTGAGAAGTAAAATTCCACATTGAAGATATAACCAAGAAACATGTGCTTTAAATACAAGAAGGTCCATTCTACTTATTATTAATTGATTTTAGGTTAGAAGTCTTGTGTTTTACACCACATGTGCAATTTTTAGATGATATTAGAGTAGACTACATTCTTTCTCATAAAGTTCAATGTAAACCCTTATGACAAGACTTGAGGATAGGACAAGCCAATTGGTTTTAGCAAGCCTTGTGTTTTTGCTTACAGATCAAAATTTCACAGGCTTAACCTAGATGGGATTGTCATGTGGATCTTGAGGAAGTTCTTTCAGCTCTGGCTCCTACTTGCTGACATAGCTGTTCTTATGGTCAATATGACATGACCCAAAGTTTAGCATCCATTTTCAAGATTCAGTGCATATTAAGAGGACTCAAAGTTTATAAAGGGCACGTTAAACCTGTTTGTTATCACGATGTTCAGATGATAGGATTCGGACATTTTTCTAGATTAGAGGAAGGGTGGCTGGATATATATGTTCTCCTCTTGGGATTGGATGCAAAATCCTGTGATGTGCTTGAAGTCAATTCAAGGAGGTACATAGGGAAAGTGTTGGATAATTTGAAAAAGTGTTGAGATAAATTCTGAACTTGTAAGTTAACAAATGTTTTGTCTTTGAGTTATATTATAAAAAGAACATAAGAACACTGGACTTATTTTTTTTTTTTTTGAACGGCGAACACTGGACTTATTTAAAGATATGATGGTGCATATTAAATTAATTAACATTTGTTTAATGGATTTGGTTGGCACATGTTTTTGGCTTTAGAAATTTGAAATGTTTAAAACACAAAACCACGGACATAAAATTGTTACTTTTGGATTGAATGATGCATTTGAATGGAAGTGTCTATTCAGACATAATCAAACTTGATTGGACATGAGGAAACTCAAAGAATATGCTCATTCAAAGCAAGCTTTGAGTGAACAGATGTGATCAAATGGACTTATCTGATTGGAACAAGCCCCCAAGACATCCTTTCGGCTTCTATATATAGGCCAAAGTTTGATATTTCTTTGAAGTAATTCTCGTACATTTTCTTCTATTCCTTCACTTCTTCACTTTGAGAGAGTTTTGATTGTTCCGTTGTTTCTTGGGAACTTTTAAAGTCTAAAAAAAATGATTTTGTTCACACCTCAAAACTTTTTTTATTTTCTATAATCTTCTTTTCTCCGATTTTTCTAACAGAAAATGAGGAAGCATACTACAGGGTTAGGGCCTTTCAGCACATGGGGCTGTATACAGTAGGTGCCTTTTTGTCGATGTAACATGATTGGGCAAAGGGCTTGTGATTTTGTCACCATACTCTCTCCTGGAGGGATGTTAATTCATTTGGAGTACCCTTTGCACTCTATTCTTAAAAAAGTTCTTATTTGTTGTTAAAAAAAAAAAAAAATTGTAGGACTCGGAGTTTATATTGAGTTTGTCTTATAGATTTTAATTAAAAAATAGAAAGTAAAAACTCATAAATCCATGCATTTCTGTTTTTAAGAACGGATTTGTGCGTTTCTTTCTTTAAGAAAGAATCAAATTCAAATGGTTTCAAATGCATGCAATATTCCTCTATCATTGCTTTCAGTTTCATGAATAATTTATCAGTTTCAAATCTTGGCTTTGTAACCGGCAAGTCACATTTTAATGGTTTCTCTTTTTATTGTTTTTACGGTTACATTGTGAAGGCATATAAATAGGCAGCCTTCATTTCTACAAAATTAAGACTGATACTATCGTCATATTCTGCACTCTTATTCCAAAAAATATAGGCAAAACATGCAGATCACCCCCTTAACTCACCCATTGGTGGCAAATCACCCCCTCAACCCACTTTACATGCAAATCACCCCCTCAACTCACCTATAGTGGCAAATCACCTTCTTTGTTAACGCAGCTTTTAACGGTCCTCATAAGCCTTGCGTCTGACATGACCTTTTTTTGGAGATGGATGCTGAGTTGGAGGTGCCACGGTCAAATACCCAAAATCATCAAATCAATCAAATTACTCTTATCCCTTAAATTGTTTAGGGAAATAAAATTGGGAATTTGGGGATCTAGGGTTTTACTTCGTTTGCTAACTTCTATCATCTTCTTCCCTTCTTTGTCCCCAAATCCGTCTCTTCCCCAAGAAGCACGATCAATTATTTGAGGTGCAAGAGTCCAGCTTCGATGGGGTGTCGTTTTCGAGAGTAGTGTTCAACCTCTCCACCACAATTGTTGGAGCCGGGATCATGGCGCTCTAGGCGGTTGTCAAGCAATTGGGTCTAATTCCGGGCGTGGTCATGATCATGTTGGTCGCTATGTTGATGAAGTCGTCAATTGATTTGTTACTTAAATTCAGTCGAGCCTCAAAATCCACCACATATCCAAGCGCAACAGTAGACGCTTCCGACAAGGCTGGCTGCACGATTCTTCAATTTTGCATTATCATCAACAACTCGGGAATGCTCGTTGTCTACATGATCATCAATGAGGGTTATATTTATAATCAACAACTTAGGAAACCTGAGTTTATATTAATGGTTTTTTTATATTTATTTTTATGGCTATTAGTTTTTTTTATTTTTTATGATATTATGTTTTGAGGTTGGAGTCTACAGTGAGGGTAATGGGTTTTGCATAATATCACCAATGAGGAAGAAAAGCTTAATTAGCTGTGATTTTTATTTTCACCACTTTCTAACCAATCTAGTTGCGTTTTCATTGAAATTGTGGGTAGCAGCTAGTTGCATATTTTGCAAATTGACCTTGTTATTCACTCCTACCTATGTCTAAACATTTGTATTCAAAATTTTAATTGGCATTTGGAACTCAAATTAATTGGTAGATTTAATTGCCAAGGAAGCTAGTGAACGAAGTAAAACCCTGGATCCCCAAATCTCTATTTTTATTTCCCTAAAATTTAAGGGCATAAAAGTAATTTTAGGGTATTTATCTAGGTGGTTTGTACATCTCAGCATCCAGCTCAGCACAAAATTGCCACATCGATGCAAAAGAGGGGGGGGGTGAACGGACTATTAAAGCTAACAAAAAGATGGCACCAGTGTTACTTAAGGGGGTGATTTGCCACTGCGAATGAGTTGAGGGGTGATCTGCACGTAAAGTGGGTTCAGGGAGTGATTTGCCACCAGTGGTTGAGTTAAGGGAGTGATCTGCATCTTTTGCCAAAAATACTTTTTATTCAAACTTTTTGGGTAAGGAAAAGGTAGTAGAGTGGAACTTTCTTTACAAAAGTGTAAAACTTGTAAAGTTACAACTAGAAAAGGTTGGGTTGTTGTACTTTAGGAGTGACGTAATTATAAGAAATTGTTGCACTAGTAGCATGAAACATTCTAAAGAAAATGATTAATTTGATTAATTCATACCTCAGCTCAAACTTGTACTTTTGGTAACATTGTTCTACTTTTCCTCTTTAATTAATTTTTTTTTACTAATTTTCTCTATTTTCCTATTTATTTTACGAGGAACAACAGTTTGCATGTGTGGATCTCGTGTTAAGAAAATTCATTCTTTCAACTTTGTTTGTAGTGCCTTCTACAGGAAATGAAAACAATCAGACGGGAACAATCATCGTTGCAGAAAAAGGAAACAACGCGACAAGAACAATCATCATTTCCGTAGTTACTTCAGTCGTTTCTTCACTGGTAGGCAGTCTGTTGCTCATCCTTTGTATTTGGATAATTTTAAGTCGCCAAAAGCCAAAGAAAATTGTTGAAAGAAAGTAATACTATGTTTGAATTACCCATTCCTTCAGCAGGAGAACGTGATTAATGTTACACCCAGGTGGATAATTAAAATTAAAATTATCAATTTATTAAATATAAAATTTTAAAACAAATATCTAAAATTTTAAAATTAATTAATTTATATAATTATTTTATTTTACTTTAAAATTTTAGATGGTTAAAAATTAAAACTAATAACTTAAAATCACTACGTATTAAATGGAGCGTTAACAAATGCGTTTGACTAAATTTATGAAATTCCATGGGAAGAAATTTCGACATCATGTTACCGACATGGGAGTGGGGTATTAAGTCACGGCATCCACAAGCTCCAGTTATTGAGGCGAGATCAGTGGAAAATTGTGTCAATAAATGTATCTAGCCTGTCTAAGGAATTGTCTAGTTATCATGGGAACTGAAATTTCTGCCTTCTTTCCATCTACTTGAAAGCTGGGACTCTTTTCTTAAGACTAGTGAGTGAAGATTGGGATTTTGCATGTCATGACTTTATTGAGTCATGGCGTCCCCACCTTTTGTTCCATAATTCCTGACAATTCTTTAAGGAATAATGACAGTTGGAATTATTTTTAAGGTTAAATTTTAAAAAAAAAATTATGATAATCATTATGACATCGTCTCACATAAATTTACATAATCAATAATTAAAAAAATTTCATTTCAAAATTTAGTTTCAAAAATTAATACCAAATTTAAAATGATTAAAGAGCTCATTAAAAAAAATTAAAACAAAAAGGGTAATAAGGTCAATTGACACAAAAATGAGTAATTGGCCCATCCCACAGTCCTGTCTTAAATGGTAAAAGGGACCAGTAGAGGTCACATGTGCTCCCTCCGTTTTATAACATGTTTCTTTTCTTCTTTTACCACGCACAAAAGTTTTTTTTTCCTCTTGATAATGCTACGCACAAAAGATTACATAACACAATTATTATATTAATGATATTTTTTTATTATCAATTATGAAAGAAAAGATACTACTGAAAAGTGGATTGTTAAATGTGTGATAAATCTCAGTAGAAAAAACATTTATTATGGAAGTAAGGGACCATTTTCCATTCGGCTTGGCTGGCTTTCTATAGCATTATTTGTTAGTTAGTCAAGATATGTGTATAAGCCCAGTTTCCGCAGTCCCACAAATCATTATCCACCCTGTAGTGGGCCAGGACTCGAGACATGGGATGTGTATAATTCCAATCCTCGCTACTCGAAGTTGAGATTGTGGAAACTTACTTTGTCTTTGGTTGGGGAGCAAAGCTTTTCTATAATTTTTTTTTACAGGATTATTTATATATTTTTATATTTTAATATTATAACAAAAGTAAGATAGTAACATTTTTAAGTTTCTTTTTCTTGATATATTTTATAATTAGTATTTTTTTTTTGCATTTTTTAAGAGAAAAAAGTTTAACCCAATATTTTTTATGTTAAACTTCACTTAACAACTTTTCTAATGAGCTTGTTAATGTTAATTTTTTTTATAGAAAATATAAAAATTAATAATTTAACAAAATTTTATTATAAAAATTATTAACTTTTCATATAATATTTTTCAATTTCTACACAATATTTTTCCTTTTTTTTTTTAGTAGAATTGGCCTCTAAGCTGATAAGGTGTGAATGGGTTGATGACCTATCTTAATTCAACAGCAAAATTTCCAATTCGGTTGATAACTACAACTTACAGGACTTTTCCTTTGCATACGACTCAAATTAAAGGGCCTACTTACCCCTTCTCCCCTTACCAAATTGTATTGGGAAAATTACTTAATAGTGGCTTCATTAAACTATTAATTTTTATTCAGTGAAAACTCAACTTTAAATCTTACATAAGTGAAAATATTGTAATTAAATCTATTATAAGTGTATTAAAATCCTGTAAGATGTCCATACTATCCTCTTTTTTTTTTTTTGGTATAATAATTAAAATATTATATTATAACTATTGCAATTAAAAAAAATCAACATAGGTAATAAATGAAAAAACATGAATTATTTAACTAAAATCCTCTTTTCATTCTCATTTCTTTATTAAGGATGATAAAGAAAAAAATAAGTTATTTAAAATTTCTTAATTTGTGAAAAAGGAAAAGTGAAATATTTTAGGAATGAGAGAGTAATTAAGAGGGCTTGTTTAGTAATCTAAATATTTAAATCCTTAATTATTAATTGAATCACTTCAAATAAATTTGTAATTAATTAATCCAAAAAAATTGAAACATCAAGTAATTTGAAATTTATTGAATTACACCCATCAGTAGTCATGAACAAGGTAGTGAGAGAAACAAGAGAGAAATTTTATTTTATTTTTAAAATTTCAGTAATTAAATATAATTAATATTAATGACAATTTAATATTTTAATTATTACACAAAAAACGTATTATGGATATCATACAAAATTTTAATACACTTATAATAGATTTAATTAGAGCATTTTCACCTATTAAAGACTTAAAAATAAGTTTTTATCAAATAAAATTAAAATTTTAATAAATACACTATTAATTAATTTTTCCAGTTATATTTAGCCTGAAATTAAACAGAGTAGAATATATCTGCCCTTTTTCAGGCAAATAGGATTTTCCATTCGGCTTCGTTGGCTCGCTATGGCATCATTCGTTAGTCAAGAAATGTGTATAACCCCAACCTCCGCAGGCCCACAAACCATTATCCACCCTGTAGTTGGTCAAGGCTCAAGTCATGGGATGTGTACAATCTCCAATCTTTCACAACTCACGTAAAGCTTCTGGAAACTTCGGCTGGTTTGGTTGGGAGAGGTTTCCTTACATTTTTTATAAGATTATTTATACATTTTTGTGCTTTAATTTTATAATAAAATGAGGATAAAAATATTTTTTTTTTGTTTTTATTTTTCTTGAGGTACATACTTTATAGTGAATCTGTCTCATTTTTTTTTTAAGTAAATTAAACTCTAAGCAAATCACTTAAGAATACTTTTTCCTTTTTCCTTGGTACAATTCTCTTCTCTTCTCACACCTTTAAAGGGAAAAAATTTAATTCAACTTTCTTTTCATGAAATTCACTTTATCATTCTTCTAATAACTTTTTTATGTTAATTTCTTAATAAACACAAAGAATAAAATTTTAATAAAATTTTATCACAAAACTTTTTAATTTTTTATATTATACTTTTAACTTTCAATACAGCATTATCTCAAGTATTATTCTAATAAAGTTGGCCCGTCACCAAGCATTCACACAAAAGAAAAGTGCGGATGGGATGACCTGATCCTAATTCAACAGCGAAATTTCCGGTTCGGTTGATCACCACAACTTACGCTTAGAGTCTGTTTCATCCATAATAAAAACACTTTAAAGAATACCAACGAGAAATTGGATCAAGTGGTAAGTGGCTTGTTCCAACTTAAGCAAGATCTCGAGTTCGAGACCTTGTGTACGCAGCAGTCTCCGCTGGGAGACTCACCCACCATTTTCAGGTACGCGACGCGGGTCGGGTCCGGATTAATCGGAGCGAAGCTCCGGATACCGGACGGGGAATAAAAAAAAAAACACTTTAAAGAATACAAGTTAATAATAAAAAAAAACTTAACAAATTGGTTGCAATGAGTTTCAGAAATTCCACGGAAAGAAGTTTCGACACCATGTTAGGCAGGGTGGGGCATCGAGTCATGGAATTCACAATTTCCCTTCCACAAGCACCAGTTAATAGTGGGAATTTTTATCGATAAATGTACCTAGATAGTTTAAGGACTTGTCTAGTCACTAGAATTTCTGTTCTCTTTCCATGTGCTTGAGATCTTAGACTTTTCTAAAGACTAGTTGGGGAAGGGGGAAGACTTGGATTTAAACATGTCATGATTTTATTGGGTCATTGCATTCCCACATTTTCCTTTCACAGCCTCCGATTTTGACAAATCTTTAAATGATAAAAGGTCCCATTAAAATAAAAGGAAAAAAAAAAAAGGCCTATAATGTCAACTAATATATCAAATTAAGTAACTGACCCTTCCCTTAACATAAGAAAAGGTAAAAATTAAAGTAATTTTTTAT